CAGAGCGGCTTACCAATCAGATTAACTGACGACCTGAAGACTGTTAGCGGTAACTGGATGCAAGCCGCACAAAGCAGAGACAAATGGAAAAAGCTGAGGGAGACATATGTTATATAGCACATGTAAGATTAACAGAATCAAATTATCTAGGACTTCGTTTTGATGAAAAATTTATGTGAAAATTACAACTAAAAGCTAAGAGACGTCAACTTGAGCTAAGATGAAAGGAACTAGCTTGGCAATATATAAAAAATCGCAGGTGTCCACGGAAAACAAGACTAAAAGAGAATACTGGAAAACTTTATGCGAAGCACTAGATCAAGAGATCTGGGCGGACGCTTACAAAATAGTCGTAAGAACAATAGAGACAGAAATGCCATATCCTTTGGAGGAAATTAAAAGATGGCAATAAACCTGTTCCCTTCTCAAGCCAAAGTGGAACTAAAACAAACCCCTTTAGAAGAGTCACAATAGATTTCACAATGGAGAAATTAAAAAAGACAGAAGCTTTAAAGCTCAAAAAGATAACGGGTGCAAGTAGGATACCGCCGGGCTTAATAAAAATAATATTCAAACATAAACATGAAGTGTTATTGCCCATCTGTAACCAATTATTGTATATGTATTGATGAAGGTAAACAAATATCGAAAAAACACTTTGAATTCAAAAAAGGAAATCAGCAGTTGATACAATAAAATGGTTATAACCATTTGGTTATAACCATTATATAAAATAACCAGCAAATAATGGAGTTCCTCAGGGATCGGTGTTGGAACCGATGCTATGAAACATCATGCACCACAACAGGGTATTGGAGTCAGTTTGAATAAGGGGTGAATATAATCGCTTTTGCAGATGATCTAGCCATTATTATGGAAGATAATACAACCTGAGGATTACAGAAACGGGAAAGAAGGCTCTGAACAAAATATCCATACGGGTTAAAAAAAATAAATTGGTATTAGCGGCGGAAAAGACAGAAGTGGTCATACTAAAAGAAAAAAGAAAGAGAGACTTTATGAAGTTTAAAGAAGGGGTTGAAATTGTATTAAAAAAAGAGGCGAGGTATCTGTGGGCTTAACTAAAACAAAAAAGAAAGAGAGACTTTATGAAGTTTAAAGGATTTAAAATTGTACCGAAGAAAGAGGCGAGGTATGTGTGTTTAACTCGATGACCAATTTAACTCCACAAATCATATAGAAAGGGTTGTCACGAGAACTGGTGGAGAAGACCGCAGAAAAAATAATGCCCAATATAGTGAAGTCTAGTTACCCCCTAGTCTGTGAGGAAGTAGGTAAAAACAAGTAAATATAATTAATGATAAGGGCGCAATGAAAACCACTAATAAAGATGGTAAGCACATATAGGATAACCTTAACAATTGCTATACCAGTGATTGCAGGGGTTGTACCAATCCTCCTTCATGTGTGCTTTGAAGAATGATATATAGCCTTCTGCAGGTCATCATGCAGGGTAGAGTCGATGGCAAAAAGGGACTAGGTAGAAAGAGGGCTGCGAAATATTCGAGACTGGATAAACATGACTGAAGATGAATTATTTCACGTTGCAAAAGACAGGAACTTTTAGAAATGTAGTCGTCAACCTCCGTTGATGGGGATGGCATAGGAAGAAGTATTGAAAAAGTCTGAAAAGATTTGTGGTTGTTGTGTTAAACCACGTACGTAGATTTTTCAGCCAGGAAATATTTCGCCTTCCTAGTCCACGTTTTTCGTTCTACTTTTCCTTGTAGAATTAATTACAGCGACCCATATCTTTGGTTTTTCCTCATGATGTGTACCAATCCAGTTGATGGAAAGCAGAGGATGGATTATTTACAATAAAATAAGGGGGATGTAAAGAAAATCAAGGCGGAAAGCAGAAAAAATAGTGTGAGACAGTGGCAGAGATAGTGGTCCTAAGAAAGAACTAAAACAAATTAAACGAAAGCGCTCACCCTTAACATAGAGCCTTGTACAAAATGTAAATTTAGACAGAGAAACTTTTATTTCGCACAATGTTTGACGGACCATGGGTCTTTTAGGACCTATACTTATAAAACAGATCACAATATTTTAGTAGGAAAAATAAGACTGAGATTAAAAAGAGTTGCAAGGACGAATAAGCGTTACTATTGATAGAAAAACGATGCTAAATGATACTGTAAAACAAGAAATAGCTAGTATATTAGAACAAAAAATGAAGTTAACATCAAGCAAAGAAGAAAGTACTGAGGAAAACTGGACGAGAATTAAAGACATCTTAAAGACTGTTCAAGAAACAAAATTGAGTGCGCTAAAAGCAAGAAAAAAACAAGGGTGGATGACAGAAGAAATACTGAGACTTATGGATCAAAGAAGAGAAGTCAGAAATAAAGATAAAAACGACTACAAGAGGATCCACGCATAAATCAGGCAGAAGATAAGACACGCGAAAACACAATTTCATAGTAAAGAATGTAATGAAATTGAACAATATGAAAAGAAACACGATACATTTCATCTGCACAAGAAATTAAAAGAGGTCGCTGAAAACAAACGGAAACAAGTATCCCAAAGTTTAGAAGACAGAAACGGACACAGAATATTAGACATCAATGAAAAGTTAAAAGAATGGGAAAACTACATTTCTGAATTATTTGAAGATGAGCGAGTAGAACACTATACACCGATTGCTATATCAGGTCCATCTACAACAGAAAGTGAGGTAAGACGTTCAATACAAACGGCAAAAAATGGAAAAAGCACTTGGCACCGATTAAGTAAGTGCTGAAATACTAAAGTTTTTGGGAGAAAATAGAATTAAAGCTCTGTGTAATCTCTTTAACAGAATTTATAACACTGGAATATTACCAACTGATTGGTTAAAGTCGACATTTGTCACAATACCTAAGAAACATCGTCCAAAGACATACGGTGACTATCGGACAATAAGTCTGATGAGGCTTGTTTTGAAGATCTTCCTGCGAGTAATACACAGAAGAATTTACACGCTGTTAGAGGACAGAATTAGCAATACTCAATTTGGGTTTAGGAGTGGCTTGGGTACTAGAGAAGCCTTGTTTAGTATACATGTGATAGTACAGAGATGCAGAGATATAAATCAAAATATGTACATTTGTGTAATCGATTTTGAAAAAGTTTTTGAGAAAGTCCGACATAACAAAATGCTTGAAATATTGGAAACAGCTGGATTGGACGATAAAGATCTACAAATAATTACAAATCTATACTGGCATCAAGTGGCAAGAATAAAGGTTGAACAAGAACTGTCGGATGAAATAAATATAAAAAGAGGAGTGAGACAAGGTTGTATATTGTCGCTTTTACTTTTTAACTTATATTCAGAGGAAATATTTAAGGAAGCCTTAATGGAGACAACCGAAGGTATTATTGTGAATGGAGTAACCGTCAACAATATTAGATATGCCGACGATACCTTAGTCCTTGCCAATTGCGGGGAAGACCTTCAAAATCTAATGAACAAAATAAAACAGACTTGTGATCAGTATGAATTAAAACTCAACGTTAAGAAAACTAAATATATGATAGTTAGCAAACAAAATTATATACAGGATAACGGTATAAAAGTCGGAGATGCCACACTGGACAGAGTAGGACTGTGTATCTCGGCAGTAATATCAATAGAGAGCTGGGATCCAACCGCAGAAATTAAAAGCTGAATAGAACAAGCTCGAGCTGCCTTTGTAAAAATGAGAAACGTACTTTGCAGTCACGATCTTAGCATTGACCTTAGAGTTCGTATGACATCTTGCTACATCTTTCCTGTCCTGCTGATGGAGAGCGTGCCTATGCTTAAACGCTTAACAGCCTTTGAGATGTGGGTATACAGACGACTACTGAAAATAAGCTGGGTCGACAGAGTTAGAAATGAGGAGGTCTTTAGACGGCTGAGCCAAACAACACAACTGGTCAATATAATAAAGAAACGCAAGCTGGAATACTTCGGTCACATTATGAGACACCCTGAAAAATATGATCTTTTACATCTGATCATTCAGGGAAAGATCCAAGGTAATCGTGGTCCTTGTAGACGAAGAACATCATGGCTGAAAAATCTAAGGCAATGGTATGGAAAATCAACTACATCGTTATTTAGAGCTGTTGTCAATAAAGTCACGATAGCGAATATGGAAGCCAACATGATATCCAACGAACGATAACGGTTATGGAACTAGAAGAAGAAGACTTATAAAACTAGAAAAAACAAATGACGATCGATGCGTAATATGTGAGGTGAAGGATGATGCAGAACATTTCTTTTTGCATACAGTCAATTCAGCCAGGAAAAAGAAGAACTGGTAAAAAATAGAAAAGACCACACCAGAAAACAAAAAAAAGTAGAATATACGAAGATGCTTTAAAATAGGCAAAACTAAAAGAACAAAAGGAACTGAACAAGTAGGACAGAGAAAAAAGAAAAACATACTCGACGTTAGATTTGCATGCTCGAAGAGTAGTCTCGGTATGCCTTAGAAGATAGAGATATTTACTGGGTAAGGTCAGGTTGGGTAAGTCAGATACTTTGCGTGAAATATCTTAAGTCCCACCCTACTCTAGAGATGAAGGTACAGGCGCTAGGGTGAGCATGATCATTACCTCTTTAAAAAAAGCTATCCACGGAAAATAAAAGAACCATATATCTACAACACCATATTGAAACAATCTGATCAGACGACATAGAACTACAGCAATACAAAGATTCTTCAAACGTTTTAATCAATAATGCTGGGAATGATAACTGGTACCTCCTGATATATCTTCAACAAAACTCTATATAGTGATCTAAACATAACATATTTATGTAAATGAACACTTAGTGCGAATAAATATCGACACAGATTTACAGAAAAATTTAAAAGACTATGGCCAGAAGAATTACAAAGAATTACAGTGAAATATGTGTCAATTGCAAACAGTGAATTCAAACTAAAATTGAACAGAGATTGAAATTTCCCTTTTCTAATAAATACACAATTTCATAGCTTTATAGATTTATTTTATATTACAATAGATTATTTTGGTGATAAAATCAATTTTTAACATAATATAAAATTTTGGAAGTAATAATTTAACAATTTGTAAACTAAGTTTTAATCCTACAAACTATACAGCGCCCACTTGAAGAACAGAGATTAGTAATTGGAAAGCATCTTGTATGTATGAACTGCTATTTCCCGCCTAAAAAATATAACCAAATATCAATTATAATATAAAAAGTATTTATCAAATAGTATCACTATATTGATTAAACAACTATTATGTTAATCCGTCGTCAAAAATTAGCTATTACGTGTAATGTCAATGTTCATAAAAAAACTTCTAGTTTTATTAAAATAATTAATACACAGAAATCGTGGAAGTCAGTTAAATTCAGTCCTGCACTGTACGAAAACAGTGCAGTTACGTCAACACCGTTATGACTGGTTGAATAGGACTTTTCATCAAAAAATTGTGTCAGCCATTTTTTTCGAACATACATTTTGTAAACAAACATGTTAGTTTAGGTTAATAATATAAATAATATATATTTAACAAAACCTCGATATCTGCCTTTTATTTGAGTAAAGTTCAAACATTCGAGCATTCAACCATATATCACATGTATAAATAATATAGATTAATATAAAAAATACCAAAGAAAGTCTAGTTATTGAAAAAAATAAAGTGTTACAAATAGCAAATCAATTTTCTTAATCGATTATTAGTGATACCCGTACGAAAAGAAGCAACGAAGCGGTGTTGTTGAAATGAGTATGAAATCAAATGTAAGAATGATATAGGTTCTAAACCATTTAAAGACAATACATATATTATTGTATAAATTTTACAAAGCCTTTATTTCTTTATAAACAATGTTATTTCTTTCCTAAATACTAAATATTTCTTTATAAATTTATAAACCAATACGTATGACGTACAATATATATCATACGTCATTGTCAATTCTGTCTGTACGAAAAGCAAGGCGGTTGATGAAAAGTTCTGTTGTGAAAGATGGAAATAGGCCTTTTGTTCATGTGACGAGCTCATGTGACAGATAACCTTGTGACAGGTAGCCTTGGTTGAGAACCTTTAGCCACGTAATCATGTACAAATATTGGTATTCATTCATTCAGGATTGTACAGGGAGAACACTTTTCACGCTCAGGGGTTCATTAGAACGACCTCATTATAACACATAAATAGATACTGGATTATATGCAAAATGCATGTATATATATATATATATATATATATATTATGCAGCATATTTGTGGGTTTCTTTATAAATGCATATGCTATTCATATTTACTTAATTAAGAACATATTGCCACATATTTGAAAATATCACATAAATAAAATGGTTTTCTACACATATTTAGATAATAGTTTCTTGGAATTATTCATAGCAGGTACTAGGTAAGGTAACTACGGAATAATTTTTATTGTTTTGGGAAAACCCATCTGGGAATTATTTATCAGAAGAATAACACCAACATGCAGGTAGGTATTAATCAGTAAATTCGTTTTTAAATTCCCTTTACCAGCTGGCAAAGCAACTTGTGATTGTGAATATTGTGCTTATAAAATAAAAACAGTTTCTTTTTTGAAAATATGCCGAAAGTAGCGAAACAAAAATCAAGTCTATTGCGAAGTTGGGTTGGTGGCAACAGTGAAATGAAGATTATAGACAATGAAAGTGTTTTCTGTACTATTTGTGATAAAACGGTGAGTCACTTATATTTTAACGATTCAATAAGTTAGATTTAAATCTCATTTTTGCAAGAAAATCGATATACCTATACTAAACATGTAACAGTTTGACTATTGGTGGTAGTTTTAGTTTCGAGAAAAAAAATATAAGTTATCTTAAAAATTTAAGTCCATATTATTGCATTAGACTCCTATTTACTAAACCGTTTTATTACAGATTCCATGTGAAAAAAAATTCCAAATTTCCCAACACCTGAAAACGGCTCTCCACCAATATAAACTATCTAAGGACTTCAAGAAACCACGCCAGCAGCTTCTGCAGAACAACATTATTCAAAATCGTCACACATCGACGGGGCAAGAAATGTTTGCCAAAGATGTATGCAATTTTTTTGTAAGTTGCAATATCCCACTGTATAAATTGGATAGCAAGGTGTGTCAAAATTTTTTGAAAACATATTGTAAAGTTGAAAATAAGTCAGTACAGGTACCAAGTTCTTCAACTCTTCGCAAGAAATATGTGAGGGCATCTTACAAAGACGTTATTGAAGGTATTAAAAGCCGAGTAAGAGATGAATATCTGTGGATATCTGTCGACGAGACTACTGACGCCAAGGGTCGGCAAATCGCGAATTTAATTATTGGAGTTTTAAACAGTTCAGCTGATGACTCCAACAAGTCGTATTTAATCAGGTAAAATGTTTAGAAAAAACCAACTATGCAACAATTGCTCGTTTTGTTAATGAATCTTTGACAAATTTCTTTTTACCGAATCAAGTACCTTCTGAAAATATTTTGCTACTAGTTAGCGATGCCGCTTCCTACATGGTTAAAGCTGTTACTAGTCTTAAGATTTTTTTTCCGAATTTGATTCATTGTACATGCTTAGCGCATGGTTTACACAGGGTGGCAGAGAAAGTTAGACTCGAGTTTCCAAATGTAAAAACTTTAATCAACAATGTAAAGAAAGTATTTTTAAAAGCACCATTGCGAGTAGAAGTATATAGGGAGATGCTTCCCGATATCCCTTTGCACGAACCAGTGTGACTAATGGGGAACGTGGTTGAATAGTGCCATATTTCTTGCAAATAATTATATTGATATCAAAAATGTTATATCAAATTTTGATCCTTCTTGTTGTATTGCTGTTCAGAAATGTCAAAATATTTTTAGTGAGAATTCTGTTCAGAATGAACTGTCCTATATAAAAGCAAATTTTGACATAATTGTAAACTCTATTACAGAACTAGAGAGTCAAAAATTATCTTTAAATGATAGTATTTGCATTGTTGATTCTGTCAAAGAAAGAATAGTAAACCTTTCAGGGACAATTGGAAAAAAAATTAAAGATAAATTTAGTGAAGTTTTAAACCGGAATGAAGGCTTTTCTTTATTTCGATCAATAAATAACATAATCAATGGAAGCTTTAACGAAGTTATTAATATGGATCGCTCGCTAGAGTCAAATTTTAGATTTGCGCCAATTACATCCTGTGATGTTGAAAGATCGTTTTCCTCATATAAACACATATTAACTGATAGAAGGCATAACATTACTCTTGAAAATATTGAACATTTTATGATTATATACTGTAACAGCAAGAACGAGGACATTTTCTTGTCAATTTTCATTTATATTTTTTTATTAAATGTAGTAATAAATAAACACTCTCTAAGTTATACTATAATTTTATTTTCACCAAATTTCAAGCCCTAAAAATTAAATAATGTATTTTTTAAGTGCATATATAAGTGCATATTGCATATAATAAATGCATATTTGGTTACTTTTAAGTGCATGTTCATGCATATTTTAACAATTTTTAGAGCATATAATCCAGTCTCTACACATAAGACATAAACCACGGTTAGATAGGTGAGCAACAAATAGGTACACATACAAAGGAAATATCCATTCGAGCGATAAATTTTTCATTCAAACCTTTAATTTAATATTTTGCAGAAATGCCATAATCAGTTTAAAAAATGTTGTTATTATCTTCACTTAATAAGTACATTTTTAAGTTTAATGGCGTCTTTAAACCTGCTTTCAGCAATTCTTGAAGTAGCCACGTACTTGTATTGAGATATAAGAAACAGTTAAAGAATATGTGCTTTGAAAAATTTATAATATCGCAAATATTGTAACTACATAAAATCTCACATTATGAAATATGTTTTACAGGTTTTTATTGTTTATTTTAATAATTATAAAACAATTGAAAAACATGCTTACTTTCGAATGTAATTTGCAATAACTTCGTTTATAAAAATTTTTAATTTAATAAATATCATTTTAAAGAGAAAGTATTTTCAAGAAAGTCGTCTGTTGAACGTTTTTATCTAGAATGCGTATTATTTCATAATATCGAAATAAATGAAAAAAGAACACATATTATATATATATATTATAATATATATATATATATATATATAAATATATATATATATATATATATATATATATATATATATATATATACAGATTGAACCAAATTAAAACGGAACATACAATTTAATACATGTCTGTTTGAACTGCATTTGAAATAGTGGACCAATATAAAACTTGGACAAAAATAAAATCCATACCTGGGTATAGACATTGTATAAAATATCGTTCAACTATCTGTTTACTTTAAGAACGCACCGTAGTCTAAGAGCAACGCCCAAAGTCAATGTTGCCAATCGCCGTATAATAATCCGATTTGCGGATCTGTTTGAGAGTTATCTCTGCTTCGTATCTTTAAATAAATCGGATATTTGCCTATATTTTTCATTGTATTTACCAATCTACTACAACAGACTAATAACAAAAATAAACTTAACGCAGTTATTTCCTTTCTTTCCTGTAAATACATATTTTATGGTTTACAGGAAAGAAACACCTTATTTGAGAAACAGCTAGAGAAATGAATAGCGGCAACACCGCTCTGGACAAGGGCAGGTCTTATTATCAAGCGAGAGTGGTTTGACAGCATAAAAATCTAGTCTAGTTTTCACAGTGATTCTAGGCTGTAAGTCCGTAGCGTGAAAATAAAATATTTTCGTAAATATATTAAAATGTATAAAATTGAAGAAAAAATACAAATTTTAACTTGGTATTTGGAGGTCACTCGATTCGAGATATAGTTAATTTATTCGTTGGTTGTTTTCCGAATAGGCCGGTTCCTTCGATTTCCACACTTGAAAGAATAATTGAAAAATTTCGTAAATGTGGATGTATTCAAAACTGCCACAAGTGTAGCAATCTTGGTGAACAACCTGTTCGTCAAAAGAGTGAACAACGAATAAATAATGAAGTTGATGTTTGTTTTGTTGTTGAGGCTAGCCAGCCGTGTTCAAGCAGGGAAATTGCTGAACAAGTAAATTTAAGCAAAAACACTGTTCGAGGTATTTTAAAAAGAAATGGATATCGTTGCTATAAAGTTCAAACAACACAAGAACTTTTTCCCGAGGACAATACTAGACGAATGGTATTCTGTGAAGAGATGATGGAAAAGCAAAATACTAACGACAATTTTTTAAAGAACATTTTATTTACTGACGAATCGACATTTTCTCTTCACAGGAAACACAATCCATCCATTGTTCGATATTAGTCTCGGGAAAATAAACATTTAAGTATTCCTGTGCGCACACAATACCACACAAAAACTTAATGTTTGGACGGGTATTTTGGGCGATTATGTAATAGGTCCTTTTTTTATTGAGGGCAACCTGAACGGCACTAAATACCTCGAACTGCTACAAAATCAAATCGTTCCGGCTGTTCAGCAACTTCCTAATATGAATTTTGGAGATATTGTGGTACCAGCATGACGGATGCCCCAGTCATAATACAAGGACAGTTACCGAATATCTCCAAAGGACATTTCCAAACCGGTTAATTGCGACAAACGGTACAATCAAGTGGCCTCCAAGATCAGCAGATTTCTCCCCAAATGATTTCTTTCTTTTGGGGGTTTCTTAAATCAAAGATCTATCGGCACAATTTTGAACGTGCCGAAAATTTAATGGAGTTAAGGGCGAAAATCATCCAACATTGTGCCGATGTTACGCCTGATCAACTCAGAAATACAAGAGCTTCTTTGTATGATAGATTCACCTATTGTTCGGATGTTCAAGGTGGATTATTTGAACCTTTACTCCATTAAATTTTGTGCCTAAATAGGTTTTTTTTAGTTGTTTTTAGAATTTTATCCTTTAAGTTTCTTTTAGAAATTAAGTTTTGTTTCTTTTAAGATTTACTTAAAAGTTTTGAGATTCTTTTAGAGTTTATATTTTGTTTTTTTACGAATTTATTTTTTATTTTCAAAACCGTTACGGCAAAAAGCAATTGCAAACCTAGAATTATTTGTAAATCGAGTTTACAATGTAAATCGAGTTTACAAATAATTTTTCCAGCATAAAACGTGATAGATACGTAAAAATACGTATTTCATATAAATTTTTCGACATACTCCCTCCGTGGATCATTGATTACTGACTGCTGAAGTCTGAAGTGCTGAGCGAGGAGCACAGCATATGCCTAGATTCACTCGTTTAAATTTTAACAATAGATTTGGTAAAAAATGCCGCTGTTGCAAGATTTAAAATATTCCATCAGTTTCAAAGAATATTTCAAATTTATAATAAAATAATTATTATGGAAGTTCTTCAAAAAAAGAAAATATATTTGGTTATGTTGACTGCTCTAAACTAATCATTCCCCCAAAGTTCATTAAGTCAAAGTAAAATAGATTTGTACTAAGTAGTACTTGTAGAACTGCAGTACAGATAAGCTTGATATCATAAAGAATTTCTACGTCCTTGGAAATCAATATATTGCTGTTCCAGAAGTATAAACACATAATTGTAAAATTTTGAAAAATGACTTTATTGTGTTGGATAGTTCAAAACTGCATTTTCTATATATTTTTAAATCATCATAACTGTACTTACGGAATCACCGGTCATGGCGAAATTCGTAAGTACAATTACGACGATTTACAAATATGTTGAAAATGCAGTTTTGATCCTTCCAACACAATATTTTTCACAAAGTCATTTTTCAAAATTTTACGGTTATGTCATTATACTTCCGGAACAGCGATATATCCAATCACTTTGCCATCGTTGTTTGAAAGTGGAATCTTATTTTGTCTTTCAAAATTATGATTCGACTGTTACTGTTCCTGTCTGTGAGTAGGTATCTTAGCTGGGTGTAACATATATTCTACTCTTTTATATTCTGCAAGAATTTAAGTACTATCTTATTTGCAGAAACTATATAACAGGCCTCCTAAAATCCAGATTTGGTTTGATTCTTCATGCTTTAGTATTAAAAACAAAACTTAAATTTTAAACTTAAAAAACTTAAGATACAGTCTGTCCCAAACCCTTTTTTCAGTGCATCACTAATTTTAACGTCATATAGGATTTTAAGAATGTCGAGAATTATTGCATGACATTTTAGTTAAATCTGACAGTTGTAGGATCGTAATCGGCTAAACGTGAAAAGGTTATTTTTTTTAATGCATAGCAGTTTTTCATAATTCTATTCTATTCTGTTCTATTTTATACATTCCATGCAAAGTGCTTAATTAGCTAAGATTTGTTTATGAATTTATTATTATTTATTACAAACACTAGGGAATTGGAAGGTTTGTTTATTTAAAATAACGCTTCCTCTTAGAATCGTTTAAGAGTTGACTGCAAGGTAAAAAAATTTACTGACAATTGCAAGGCATCAAAGTAAACATTCTTGTGATAAAATAATATCGTAATATTAATATATAATAAGTAATTTTCTGATAAGTTTGTGTGGCAGCCAATAGTTTAATTTTGTGAAGAGTTGTCATTAAATAGTGGAAATAGTTTAAATAGTGAAGCAGTTGATTTTAAAGTTATTCTACCAGATTTGGTGTGCAAATGAAAGAAGGTTATAAAGTTTAGTTAAAAAAAAAACAATATAAATAGTTTAAATAGTGAAGCAGTTGATTTTTGAGTTAATCTACCAGTTCCGATATCCAGATGAAATCGTGCTAATGGAGTTTAGTTAAAAAACAAGATACCGAATGTAAGTTTACCTTATCTGATTCTTGAAAATCAATGATTACACTAGATATGTGGCTGGTATCAATTATATCCTACATTTCAAGAAAATGTCGTGGTTCTAAAAAGAACCGTTTTAATACATATAAATATCCATAAAGGCATTAGTTTAAGATATTTCCTCAATCTCATTCCGGAATTCACAATCTGATTCGCGAACGACAGAAACTGATAATAAAGATGTCTCAGCCTCTTTTTCTAATTGAAAATAATTTAATAATTTTAATATTAGTCTTTTTTCATTCTCGGTATATCTCGGAATATTTAAAATATTTTTATGGCAATAAATACAAAATTTAATTTTCACTGTAGTTAAAATGTCTGAAAATACTAACCTGGAATGGCAATTATTATTTTATCAGTTGACATTGTGAAAGTACTGTCACTGTCATTATCAAGATCATCTGTGTCAAATTATATTTATATGCATAATTGATTGGATATCTATTTAGCGTATTCTAAACTCCAACCAATTATACGTTCGTAAGTAGAATTCGCTTTAATATGCGAATACCCGTGAACGATACCTAATTTTCTAAGTTCTATGTATAATAATCAGAGACTCACGTTTTTTTCTGTCACTTCTAGCTTAATGCGTTAGAGAGAATTCGAACAACTATGACGCACTGAAAGAAGGGTTTGGGACGGACTGTATGGAAAAAACATAACTTTCTTGAACCTTTTAAAACAGAATATTAAATAGCTGAGAAAATTTATATCGCATGTTAGGATTCGATCAATTAATTTTGTACTCAGCCTGAGGTCTTCTTTAAGTCAATAAATCAAAATTTGTCTTAAAGGAAATCTGTTTTTATATATCATATTGTATATGGACGTTTTCAGATTGTGAGAACAATTTTTGACGTTTCTGGTTTGTTTACTTTTGTAGCTGTCAGTTTGTTGACTATTTTGCTATTTTTTGTCCTGTTTTTTACATTTTGGAATTATTTATATTACACAAACAGTTATTTTCACAACTAACTTTATATTGCAGTTGAAAATTTTATGGTAAGTGTATTTTAATTTGCCCTTAATTTTCCTTAAACTTAACCTTATTCACACAGATTGTCATAACCATTTTCTGTCACTTTTTGTTGCTTTGAGTAAATTTCCGACTGATTTCGTATGTTTTAAATCATGACGCACGGGTAAAGATAAATTGACTCAACTGAAATACGTTGTTATTGAATTCGTTATTGATCGAATTTCATGGCATGTGATTTCTCTCATCAATTGTGAGAAAAATAAATAAATAACGAACATTTTCCTCCGGTTGGCAACACTGCTGAAATGTAGAAGTTTAGCTTTCAATTTTTATACGTGATGGGCGGGGCAACCTTTTTGGGGGAGTTTTTACCTGTTTTAAACAACGAATTCAGAATCCAGCCGCACGTTGAAGTATTGGAATTGTATAATATAATTATTTGACAACCTTTTGTTGGCTAAGCACCTAAAGCGAAGTAGATCCGATATACATGTATTTCCTATGTTCCGTTTTAATTTGGTTCAATCTGTATATATATATATATATATATATATATATATATATATATATATATATATATACATATATGCAGCATATTTGCAGCATATCTTCCAAATACCGTAGTATTTCAGTCTAAATAGCAGTCAGAAGTAAAATTTTCTGTATGAAATAAAAAATGATAGTAGACGTGTTATAATTTCTATAATTTGTATATATTACCTCAAAAAACACATTGGTGATTAAACTATTTATAGATTCCTTATTTCCAGATTGTGAAGATTTCATATTTAATTTTTCAGAGAATTTTCCTGCTACTAGTCCAATAAGAGAAGTAAGTGTCATGGTCAATCTAGAATTTCAAATACAATCGTTATACTATAGGTATAAAAACTTGACGTATGACAACTTACTGTACTAAACTATCTGCTTCATCTGCTGTGCTCCTGTGCTCCTTGATTAATAACAATTCTCCACATTTATGAAACTGTTCTACAGTAATTGCAGTCAACTGGGCTAAGACCTTCAAAATAATTAGTACATTAGAATATATCAACATTACAACCTAGAAAACAAGCTTGTTTATATAATCTATGATCAAAATAATAAGATACAAATTTGATTTCCGCATCCCTCTGAAATAATAACTAAGTGGTTGCAAAATTTTCTAAACGTGGGGGCAATTGAACTGTACTAATAAAGTTCCCGGGAATTTCAATTAACCGGATAACAGGCAAACAAACTTTTGAAACCGAATGTCATTAAAGTTTATCTTAAGATTTCGTACTACCGAAGTAATTTAATCTTTCAAGACTTGTATCTTTAGGCGTTCAAATTCCATTTAAGTACATTTTAGTTCAAACGTTGAATTTTCAATGATACTGAGTCAGCAATGCAATACTCAAATATATATTCTTCTGAGAACAATAAACAAAATATTTTTCAAAAAATTGTTATTCTCATCGATTCTTTCTGTTATAATTTCACAAAATCCCATCCACTTAAAAGCTAAGGAAAAATTTCCTTAACACCATTCAGAGCGGTGTGAACTTCAAAACGGTTGTATCGATATATTTTCAAAATGTTTCTTATAGTTCGATTACACTTCAGTTCGATTGATAGACATTTTTTAAAGTTTCCATTACAACTGTTTCATCCCCACAATATGTCCTAAGGATTATAATTTTTGATCTTGTTTAGTGAAATGTTGTTCAAACCAGCCTTGTCTTTCCCATCGTTCTCAACATCTCGACATTTGTGAAGCGATCTAAACAGTTTACTGTATATCTTTTCTGTATTTAAGGTGGTATTTTTATTCTAAAACTCATTTGTATTCTTCAAAGAAATCTTGAAGTGAGTACTAAATAATTAAGTTAATAATTTCTTTACAGTAATTTCACCAATATTCGGTATCTTTTTATAACTCCCTATTTCTTTAATTACCTTTATACAAAACTTCTATAAGCCACGTTTCTTTTCAACTTTTAAGTAGATATATGTATGTAAGATATGTAGGTGTATATGTATGTAGGATCTTTTTTATTTAATTTAAGTAATTTATTTTAATAATAATTATATTCATTTTAAAAATTTGTTTTTCTATAATTTCATAGCAAGGCAATATTTAAATTTATTTTAATTATTTATGCTGTCGCTAACACAAGGTTTTTGTTTTAGCTTTTGTTTTAATTGGAATTTTTCTTATTCCCCTTTTTGCTGGGACACCTAGACCACGTGTTACACCACATGTAGCAGACTAAAGTAACCCACTGCTACTATGCAGAAGCTCACACCAAGAAGTACCTAAAAACTAGCTACATCCAACCATTCAGCTACATTCAAAAAGTACTTGAAAACTACATTCAGCTAACATCTACTTGAAAACTATAACTTCAACTTAAATCCAAAATTGACAAAAAATAAAAATTGCTATATATATTTCCACATTTTTGTACAGGTTTAAGCAAGATTTGCTTTTAAATTCATTTTTTATGTATAATAAATATGATAAGTTAATATAAACTTTTATTTGTCCCTGCCATTTCTCTTTGTATTTTATCATATCTTTGAGTTGTATTGCAAACCTATTTGTTTTGCAACATATTTATGTTGATTTAATTTGATTGTAGCTGTCTGGAGAGAATATTACATATTGGTAATAATTGTTAATGTAGAACAATTGTACAATCATAAACAAACAGTGTAAGCAAATCGAACTGTCTAAACCAGTGTTTTTTAACCTGTGGTCCGCTGTCCCTTGGGCGTCCGTGAGCATGTGTTAGGAGAGCATTAATAACAATTGAATTAATAAATAGTGTAGTACATAATAAAGTCTCATAATCGCCAACAAGCGTGATCCGATCGAAACTTACCGAAAGACGATGACCTTCCCCTGTCACACCGCCTGCGCTACTGCACATATGTTATTGTTACTGCACTTATGATATTATGTTTTAATGTGATTGTTACAATGAAACGCTGGAAAAGCCAAATGATTCCGCTTAAGACGAAGCAAATGAAAGACCATCGAATTCAAAGGTTAATAAACATCGTAAGTTTTGTGACGAATACTTAGCTTTCGGTTTTATATCTATTAATTTAAGCGGTGAAGAAAGACCTCAGTGCGTCATATCTTCTTCTTCATGTACCATGTCCTTTCAGAACGTTGGTTACCATCATAGCTATTTTAATTTTATCCACTGCCACCCTAAATAGCATGCTTGTATCTACACCACACCAATCTCGCAAGTTCTTCAACCATGAGGTTCTTCTTCGTCCTGGACTGCGTTTGCCTGCTATTTTTCCTTGCATGATATTTTGTAGCAATCTATATTTGGGACCTCTCATTACATGTCCGAAATATTCCAGTTTTCTCTGTTTGATGCTTTTTATGATCTCAGTAGTCTTGCTGAGACGTTCTAGTAATGTGGAGTTACGAATCTTCTCCACCCAGGAAACTTTTAAAATTCTTCTATAGCACCACATTTCGAAAGCCTCAAGGCGATTTAGATCGATTTTATTCACAGTCCAGGACTCGACAGCATAAAGTAAGACCGAGAATACGTAGCAGCGAAGTAGGCGGATCCTTAATGCCAATTTTAGGTCTCTACACCTTGGACATCCTTCTAAAAGCAGCTCTAGCCTGCTCTATTCTGGATCTAATTTTGTGCGTAGTCGTAGTGCGTCATATGCTACGAAGTTTTGTCAAATGGGTCAATGTAACTGGCCAAACTATGACGTCATTTAGAAACAAAACATCAGTACCTTCGCGAGAAAGCTTAGAAATAGAATCGTTGATATGTCAATTCATCAAATATTAAAGAACAATTGATTATACATGTTAAAACGAGCAGATTTTATGCTTTGAGATTAAATGAAAGCACAGATATTAGCAATGACGCTAATTTGCATTTATTCGTTACTTATACTACGACGTCATAATTGAGGATTTTCTGTTCTGCAGGCCTCTGTCTTCGCATAATACAGGTGAAGCAATATTTGATATATTGAACGACTTTATATCCAATCATGAAATACCGTGGGATGAATGTGTGGCAGTTAGTATGGCACTCGGCTATGACCGGTACACGAACAGGACTTCACACGCGAGTGAAGAAGTTGAATCCATCTATTATCTGGTATCATTGTTGCATTCATAGAGAAGCATTGGATGCTAAAATATGCCTGATAAATTAAAAGCATTGTTAGAGGAGATAGTGCAAGCCGTGAATTTCATTAAAGCCAGGCCTTTTAATTCCCGTATTTTCGGTATGATTTGTGAAGACATATGGGAAGCATTCTCAAGCAGTTATTATTGATACTGAGGTGAGTTGGTTGTATCGTGGCAAAGTCGTGTCGCGTGTTTTCAAGCTGATAGATGAGATATAGATAGATCAGAATATTTTTTCAGAAGAATTCAGCAGGCAGCGGAAATAACCATGCTGATAATTTCAATAACTTTAAAAATGGCTTACAATGGTGGCATATGTGGCTGATACCTTCAATGCTCTTTATGAGTTGAACTTAAGTCTACAAGGAAGAGATAACAGCATCTTCCAAGTTGAAGACCAAATAGAAAATATGATAAAAAACTTGACAGTTGGACTGATAGTACCTACAAAAAAGTTAAAAAAAACTGTTATTATTTTCCTAGATTGGTAGCGTTTTTGGAATCCTCTGGTGGGGAAATGTTGCCAACGCAACTAGAAGAAGAAATGATTAAACACCTCCGAGGTTTGCGGTCTTCTTTTAGGGATTATTTTCTAGAACCCGACAGAAATACCCGGCTTGACAACGATACAGGGAAATCAATTAATAGAAGTATCATGAGATTTAGCTTTAAAACGTCATTTCAAAGAATCTTCCTTATCAAGTGCTTGGCTGAATATAAAAACAGTTTATAAAGGAATATCAGAAAAAGCACTGATACATTTACTGCTTTTCTCATCCACAAACCTCGGTGAAAAAAAATTTTCTGCTCTTGTAGGTATATATCAAAAACAAATACAGAAATAAGCTATAATTGGAATCCGATTTAAGATTACAACTAAATGAAAACATCAACCCAAATATATCAAATTTAGTAGCCAAACAGCAGCACTAACTTTCACATTAATAATTAATACAATATAAATGTTTTCTTTCAGAACTTAAATAAATTGTTCTAAATTTAATCCTGCGCTCTCTATTAAGGAGGTCCTTAAAATTGTGCTTGATTTTCTAGCACGAATTAAAAAAGGTTAAGAAACTCTGGTCTAAACTATTCTAAACATAATAAGTTACTGGTATCGATGGATGAATCCTATTATCGCATAAAATGTACGCAGGATTCTTTTTTTCTTTATATCTAAAAGTTGCTGACAAAAAAATGTAAATAGATTTGATAGAATATAGATAAGGAATTAATGAAATACAATTAATAGTGTAGCATATTTACCTGCAAAGCCTCTTGATGGATTTCATTTTCATCACAAAAATCTAATTTTAAATTATTCAACCACACTTCAGTTTCTTCCCATATAGAAACCAATTTGTCATAAGTTATACTGACATTTATATCTTTAACTGCTACTTGGATTTTTTCTTTGATATCTTCAAATGTTGGAGTATCTTCGTCATCTTCATCAGGAATTTCGCAGAGCTCTTTAATTTGGTCCATAGTTTCTTGAAGTTCTTGGAATTCGGTTCCAGAACAACTTTCACTTAAGGTCTAAAGAGGAATAATTATAAGAAGATAATTTCAATAACGAGACTTTGCCACTACTTGATAGATTAAAATATAATTTTATTATTATAATATACAGAAGCAATATCAGACCTTCTCGTCATTCATATATATTTATATATATATATATATTATATTATATATATATATATATATATATATATATATATATATATATATATATATATACATATATATATATATACATATATATATATATATATATATATATATAATATATATATATAATATATATATATATTTAAGGAGAATTGCTCTTAGAAGATAACACAAATATTAAGGCTACAAAATAAGATTTCAGACCCTTAACTGTTATCATCAAAAACGAGTGTGAGTTTAAAACGAAATCGCTCGAAGAACAAGAGGTGTCCTTACTTAGCATACTGATTTACTGAGTTAAGAAAACATCAAGGAGTAGGAATAGAGATTGACGGTCCTAACACCCGATTATCAAAAGCCTGTGGGAAATATTCCTAAGCTCAAATTACAAAAGATGTTCTCACATATCATTCTACTCATAGACATAGAAAGCATGAAGTAGAAATAGAGGTTAATGGTCATAACACTATATCAACAGCCCTCAGATTCGACAATATTTCAAATGGAGTTAGCAGCAGTAGATATTTCTGTTCAGAAGTGGCTAAAAAAATCAACTCAGCTTAAAATATTTATTGCCTCAGACAGTCAAGCTAAAGACTCTACAGAGTCCTGGAGTCGGGAGTCTGTAACAGTTGGAAATTTTAAACAGTCCTTTTTTAACAAACTGGCAAAACCCAACAAACTAACTTTGTTGTGGGCGTCAGAGCATAAAAGAATTGATAGTAGTAAGTTTGTTGATAATCTTGCTATACTCTATTTGAAATGCATGAAATGCATCATTTTTATGGCAGATTACAACGGGTCTGTATGCAGGACTGTTATCGATATGTAAATCGATACCTTCTTAGCTCAGTTTTGTAAAAGAATTTATAAATATAATATGACCACACACATAATATAAAATAATATGAAAGACTTTGAATTCATTTTGAACTTAACAGAAAAGAATGTAAGAAAAGGATATGCAATCTCAATTGGAGCTTTAAAAGAACCTTAAAAGCGTAAAACCCCAAAAGAACCCAATATAACTATGAAGAATTGCTAATACCAGAATATACCAGTAAACCCTTGATATAATTTTATTAAAATATGTTACCTGTAACTTTATATCACATTGTTTTGACAGCATTTCCAAAGCTTCTAAATGTACTAATCCATGGTAATCATCAAACAGAGTCTCATAGTTCATTTTTTTCTTGGAATGTTTTTCTTGCAGAACTTGATTTTCCCTCTCTGCTTTCTCTTTCGCTTCTCTAAGCACCTGGGAAAGTATAGGCTTTTCCTTTTCTAACTTCAACAAAGCTCTCTTATTTTTTAGACCTGGATCACCTTCTTGAAGGACTTCCATAGTTTTCTTGCCTATGGTTTCTAAAGTATCTAGTCCTCCTGTTATTACTTTATTGCCAGTGTTTTCAACGAATTTTGTTATGTGTGAGACTCCAGAAACCAGATTAGATAAATTACCAAAACCAAAACCTGCAACAATCAATTGGACTCAGTTATTTTATGTTCAGATCTAACATTAAGATTAAGAAAAGCCAATAAAGAATTAACACCAGATATTGATGTTTTAATAAAAACCTTGATATATATATAAGAGAATATTTAATATTTTTGTTTGGTACTTTTTATTGTTTGTATTTTTATTATAAAAAAAATCATCACCAATCACCATTGGCTCCAGATCCCAATCATTGGCCTTCCCTTGGCCTGTCCACTCCATTCGATCCTATTTCTAGCTTTCCTTTTCTAGTTTTCAAGTGCGAGTTCTCTCAAATCCTTCTGTACTTGGCCGTCCGGCTCGTGGAGATAAGAATACAGCCGGGATAATTTATCCTGCCTGTCGTAAGAGGCGACTAATGGGACGGAATGAAGAGGTGGAGAGCCGTTGTTCGAGGTGTTCTAGTATCCGAGACGAGCCTCTCGTGAGACCACTCTACTCTCATTCGACAGAACCAAGGTGAGGTTGAACGAGCTGCGTCCCTGATACACCCTTTCCCCATTAAGGGCGTGGGGTTACGGCACGTAACCACCTTGGGAGACTTAAGAGTGGTAGAGGACAGCTCCTTAGCGTCGTTCTGTCAAATGTGCGTTCACCTTTCCGAAACCAGGGGGGATAAGGGACGGGTGTGTGTACCGCAACACAGGTACTACGGGGAGGGTTGAGCCCCGCGATGCTTCAAGCAACGCGCTACCCTCAAAAGTTGTCGGACTCGTAGGGGTTAGTGGCTAGATCACGGTCGTATGCCGAAAAGACCAGGGTCCAGCTGATGCTTTATCATCAGAGGACACACGCATTCGTCAATGGACTTGGCCCATAGATCGTATTTTTGGTCGGCCTTTCGGTATCTTTGCGAACATGTGTTGTTATTATTCTTGTTGGATCAGAGGGTTCCATGCAGATCCTCCCTCAGTCTTCCAAGCTTAATTAGGCTGACCACATTAGGTTATCTGTAAGCTTAATAGGACCATTCCTTCAAATATTGCCAGCTGCGATTCATCCCATTTTGTCAGACCTATTTTCCGACATTTAGTTGTAGCATTGTTAAGTTTCTTCCGTATGTATTGAAATCACCCTGTATGTATTAAAACACCAAAGAATATTTTCAATTCATTTCTATTTCCTATCGTAATATGTTAAATATTATTTCAATCAATATTATTAAAAATTAAATTTCAATATTATCAAAAAAATATGAAATATTATTTCAATTTTTGTGCATCGCTGCAGTTGATAATAAACACATTCTAAAATTTGTTTATATAACATAGATGCGTATTTCCTTGGTATTCTGTTGATCGAAGCCGCTTATATTCCCATTTATGCTTTGTTTATACCGAGTTGGGTGAACGATTTTTGAAGAGAATTACATCACTCTAGGTAAGGCCGGCCACTGTTAAAGGCGTTTAGTTTTATTGGAGTTCGAATTTTTCTTCAAATTCGTAATTTTTTTGTTTTTCGACTTTTGTTATAGAAAATAAGTAGTTTTGTGGCAGTTAATTGTGCAATTAAAGAGGTTTGGAAGAGATTTTATTAAGGCACTCTGATCAAAAGATATCGAATTTTTACTGTCGAGTTGTTACAAGTTTTATTTAAAATTGATTTTGGGCGCGTAACACGTCCAAAATCCCCTAGGAGGGTGGGTTTTAGGGAGAAGCCGGGTAGGAGTGGAAAACATTTTTGGTTCTTTTTGGGTCCCAAAATTGATATTCTTAGTGATATTCACCTTATTCTTATGATTTTTAAAGGTTCGGTGGCATTTTTGTCTCTGGCGGCTAGAGTACATTGGTAATTTGATTGACAGTTTCATCTTACTTCAGTGGTTTTCGATATGAAATCAATAGAAAATGGTAAAACATTATAACAAATTATACAAAACACATTATACAAAAATAATAAAGAATATATAACACAAAGAAACAAGAAAAATTAAGGGACATATAATTTTACCTATATTATTTAACTTTGCCGAAGTTTCTCGAATTAAAGAAGCTCGGTTGGATCAAAATGGAGATTGAAATAAAGAACAAGTATACTGAATAAACTAAGACGGATGATACAGTCAATATTCTAGATAATAACGGATATTTAAAACAAATCATCATAGAATTAAAAGAAGAAACAAACCATATTTACCAATATGGAGAAGCAAACCATTTACTATAATAGACAAAAAGAAAAACAACTGGATAAAAAATAGATCAAAAGTAAAATACAAACAGAAATAGTTACAAAACGAAAATGAAAGTTTGTGGAGCATATTGCCAAGCTGAGGGAATAACAAATGAAGTACAAAAATAATTAAATCATCTCCTAATATGAGGAAGACCACAAACAAGGTGGTAGGATGAACTAAAGTCTGCCAGACTAAATTGGATAAGAGAAGCACAGGATATAATCAAATGAAGAGTCTCGAAGAAGAGATATGTTCAATTCTGCAATTCTAGATATTCAATTGCTTAAAACGTGGGAGAGACATTTGTTTAAAATATTTATTTACAAGCGTAGTAACAAGATATCTGCAAAACTTGAATTACGTGATGAACAAGCATACATACTGTATTTTGATTTGTAAAAAGCTTTAGACTACCCAAAATTAACTACTTCAGTAGAGTATCATAAAAGAATTATGTATTTATAGAATCAAATGTACCATACAAGAAGATCTAATATTATAAAATCAGAAAATTGTAGAGAAAGAAGTTTGAAAGAAGTTATTCATATCAACATCAATTTAAATATTGCAAGAAACAATATTTGGCACGATTTAGAAATCATGCATATGTAAGGCTAATGACTCATGAGATTGCATCCAATTACCAAATTATATGAAAATAAAACATGTAAAAATAAAACATATTAAATCAGATTTGTTATATTTTCTAGGTTAATAGGTACTACTTAGTTATTAAAATTCGAATTTGTAATAAAAATTAAAATAAGAAACACTTCGTAAAATGATAATTATTGCAAAATTCAGATCCAAGAAGATAATTCAATTTTAAAACTAACTACAAATATATGTTACACAAAACAGTAAATTAGATTTCAAACAGAAATCTAGACATTTTTAGTCAACAGAACAAACAATTTCTATAAGAACTATGGACTAAAATAATTAGATTAGAAAACTATAAATATTTGGGGACAATATCAAACAACAATATTGATAAGAAAAATTTAAATAGCTAGAAACGTTTTTGATAAAATGAGAAGTAGCAGGGACCTCTCAAAGCAACTGAAAACAAAAACACTTAAGGTAATGAATCAGTAGTGGTCACTGAATCAGTAGTTGTCACTCTTAGGAAAATAAGGTAAAATTACTAGTTGTCAACCATTATTACATTGAGATTTCATAATTTATGAAGACCTGGCAACATCTAGATGCCACTAGCCGAGTTTGAAGTTTCTCTGTACAATATTTCCAATATGGCGTTTTAATGTTTGTGTGTATCTCACGTTTTAATGAATATTTCTATATTTTCTTAGTGAAAGTGTTAAGAAAGGTAATTTTTAATTTTGGCTGTAATATAATTTCTATAGTAATTTATAATGCAGTTTCAAGTTGGAGCTTTTAATGAAGCATTTTACAAAAATGTTAATAGGTCTTTGAAATTGTTTGAGGTTATTTTTTTGCTAAAACTAGGGATGACATCTACTGATTATGACTATATGGTAAAAATCAGTTGTGGTCATTTGGTGCCACGTACTGATTACGAACCAATTTTAACTAATCAGTAGTTGGCATCACTGTCACTAATGCCTCTTTCTATAATATTTATCCTATTTTCTGCATTAATAGTTACTTATGAATGCGTGTCTCTACAGTGTTTTATATTGTGCCGCTAGAATATATCATTGTTTCAGGAAAGAAATAAATAAAATTATGTCTCAACGACGCAAATTATTTAATTACGAAGAATGGCAGATGGACAGGGACTTAGAAGATATTTCTCGTGGGGTTCCAGTTGCTACTGCTGCAAGAAATCATAACGTTCCAAGAATGACACTGTCTAATAAGTCAAAAGGCAAGTCTCCAAAGATACGTCGAATGGGCCCAGAAACAATTTTATCTCAGCAAGAGGAATCTATTTTGGTTACTTGGATTCGGAAAATGGGCCATATCGGTTTCCCTATCACAAAAGATGAAATGCTAGATAGTGTTCAATTGTTGATTCGAGAATTAAAAAAAAAAAACCCATTTAAAGATGATCGACCAACATTAGGGTGGCTACAACGTTTTAAAATCGTCATCCAGAAATTTCAATCCGAACAGCGCAGAACCTAACAATTACCAGAGCATCTGTATCTAAACAAGGAATTAAAAACTGGTTTAAAGAAGTTTCATTATTCTTGAAAGAAAGTGGTAATTTTGACATCTTACTAGATCCAAGCCGAGTCTATAATGGAGACGAGTCAGCTTTTTTCCTGAACCCTAAAGGTAATAAAGTACTAGCAAGCAGAGGGCAAAAAAACGTATATCAACGAGTGAATTCGGATGAAAAAGAATGCTTAACTGTATTGGTTACAGCAAGTGCAGCAGGAAAAGTAGCACCTCCAATGGTAGTCTTTAAGTATGACAGGGTACCGCGTGATATTGCGAATAGTGTTCCTGAAAGGTGGGGAATCGGTAAATCCGACTCAGGATGGATGAATGGTCCAAATTTTTATGAATATATCACTAATCTATTTCACCCATGGTTAATTCGAGAGAAGATTGTTTTGCCAGTAATTCTTTTTATCGATGGTCACGTCTCCCATCTAACCTACCATACAAGCAAGTTTTGTGATGAAAACGGTATAATTTTGATCGCATTATATCCGAATGCTACACAACTCCTACAACCGATGGATGTAGCAGTATTTAGAACACTCAAGGAAGGGTGGAAACAAAAGGTGCACCAGTGGCGAAATGAACACCTTGAGAATCCAGTTTTACGGAAAAGAGACTTTTGTCCTTTACTTGAACAGGTCC